CTTGCTCTGTTCAACATCATTTGGAAAATATTTTAAAAAAGAGAAAAATTTATATATATATATTCGTACAGATCACAACCCACTGTTTGGAACACACCTGACCTGCGGATTAATACATTTTTTTACGGGAAGATTAATTCTAAATTTGTCTCGATGGCAGAGAAATGGCCTCTTGCATCATTCAGATCACATTAATGAAAGTATTTAGGCTTTCCTGTGAAATATACTGATGACAGAAGAAGTTGTGGTGGGTTATTGGGGATGTGATGGGTTTCTTGGATGTTTTCTGTCTCTACTTGTTTAGTCTGCATTAATGCATTCAGTGTAAGCTGCACGATTAATCATTAAAAGATCGGGATCTCAACACCCACGCAACATCCATTATGAATATTGCTAATTAGCATGTGTTCAATAATCCTAAGAGATTGAGTCTTTATTCTTTTGGGTTAGTGATGAAGTTACAAACAGTCAAATATCACAGCAGTACTGGATAACAGTTTATACCTGAGATAAAATCACTGATGTTTATGGTTCAAATCACACCCATATGCATTTAACAAGATCCTCAAAATGAAAGCTGTAGGCAGCAATTACACTATTTCACCAATAGGAGGCGACAACCAGCCGTCAGAAATACACCACTGAATAATTCTTCAGAAATGATCATCTAGCAATGAAAGATGAAGTGTTGTGAGTGAATAACTGAATCATTTATTGAAGATGAGGGTAAATATACATTTAACATACATTTTCACTAAATATACACTTTCTACATTGAGTTATCAGCAGCAGTAGGAGGAATATTTTACTGAATATTTTACAGATTATCTTTGCTCAGCTGATTATTTCTTCAGTTTATTTGTAGTTAAATCACAGCTTCTCAGTTCAGTTTGTTTAAACTAAAAGTGTCTTGCAGTGCTGTTTCTGTAATAAATGGAAAGCAAATGACATTTGTCTCCTCCCCTTTTTGGCTGATCTGAAAAATGGTCTGATCCGGGACTAAAACACCATGATGTAATCCGACGTGTGAGATTTGTGATCCGTTACACCACTAATATATATAATAGAATGAAAGTATAGCTGTATATTTGTAATTTCAAAATTGTATTTTATTGAACAACTCAGATACCAAATATATTTTGGCCATAAAAAAAAATAAAAAATTATTTGGGCTGTGTGTGTGTGTGTGTGTGTGTGTGTGTGTGTGTGTGTGTGTATGCGTGTTTACTCTCCATGTTCCTGTGTCTGCATCCGTGCACTGGTGTACCTGTGAGTCCGGCCAGCGGCTCCAGCTCTCGGCTCCGGCTGATGGGGAAGTGTGATGTGCTCAGCCGCCGGCTCCTCTTCAGTTCGCTCGGGTCGGACGGTCTGATGCTCGGAGGAGTCCTGGCGCTCTTATTCACACCCTGAAACCAGAGCACAGCGCAGGCTCATGTTACACTGCTGATTTCCTGATGAGGGATCATTCGCACACACACACACAGATCTCTGTTCGCTACATCATCTGCACACACTTTCTGCTGTGTCTGCGGAGTATTTTGTGAAATAATCTGTGGATTTATGAGGAATGATTTTGAGAGTATATGTTCTCTAAAACCCCAAACATGATATAAAAATACTACATTATAAGGATTGTAGTGCAAATACAGTTAGATCCACTTGTTTAATAAACAGAGCAAGTCTCTAATATTACATGGATATATATATCTGCTAAAAGACTACAATATTAATCTACAAACGGTGTTGTTCACTGTTAAATATCCATAAATTAGGTTTTATTTTTCTCTGCTTATTTCTGCTTCTGAGCTGCATTATGGGATCTTGATCTGTCATCCAGCATCTTTTAGTCTTGGAGAGTGTGTATAGTGTGTGTTCTGCACATGTGTAATAGTGTGCAGTGCTGTATAGTGTGTGTTGGTGTTGTATAATACACTACAGAAACCCTGTAATAAACTGCAGCACATGTTCTGTTGCACAGTACTATTAGAATATAATAATATATTGCTATTTTACACACTGATCTCTCTAGATATTATTTATTATACATTATATTATTACTAAAATGTCAGTAAAAGTCACTGTAAAGTTTAATATTCAGCATCAGAAGTGGACAGAGCAGAGATCAACATCCCATAATGCTGTTCACCACCGCTAACACACAATAAACAGAAACTGCTCATTAACAGAACAACGTAATTGATAAAAAAATAACCAAAATAATGACAAATGTCTCACTATTTACCGTCCCTAAAGGGGTCTCAAACTATAATGAGTTTCTTTATTCTGTTGAACACAAAAAAGATACTTAGAAAAATGTTATAGCCCTGTAACCACTGCCTTCTATAGTAGGAAAAAATACTATAGAAGTCAGTGGTAACCGGTTTTCAACATTCTTCAAAATATCTTCTTCTGTGTTTGACAGAAAAAACTCAAGACAGCCTGTTTGTGTTTCTTTGTTGTGTTGAAAATACAAAAATTGAATTTCTTAAACAAATAAAGATATTTAAAAAACAACAATAGCAGGTGACGAGGGAATGGATATTTGAGTAAACTGCCCCTTTAATGAAGACAAACTTGTTGGAGCTTGTTGGAGCTTCAATCTAAGTTAGTTTATTATTGTTGATTATTAACGAGTCTGTAACGTTATACGATTCCTTCAAGCATTTTATTTATTATTTCCAGCAAATGTTTTTATTTGTAAACTATAGCTAAAAAACGGGTTATTAAGTCATAATCAAGCTGTAAATTAGCATGAAGCGATCAAAAGTCGAATAATTTAATCCGAATATAATATTTACCTCATTCTCTTTCTCTTCGCGCTGTTTTTTCCCTTTCCTGCTGCTCCTCCCAGTCTGCAGACAAGACACATTCAGATTTAGACGACAGCAGACACTCACTGACACTGACAGGCCGGTCACAGTGAGCTGAATTATGGTAGGATCGTGTATATCTGTGGAAGTGTCTCGGCTGAACTCTTACCTGCTCTTTCTTTGACTTGAGCGGCATCTTCTTCACGACTGACTGAGGAGCGCGCGCGCGGGAACGCTGATTGGCAGGAGCGGGCCATGTGACAGAAGTACTGTAATTTAATATATGGCTCAGATTTAATTAATTAAGGTAAAAGACGAGCTAAAACCTTTTAGTATTGAGCGATATGATCATACACTACATATTAAGTTCAACTAATAAAAAGTATTTTTCAGAATCAGAAACAGAGTTTGAGAATGAGGCTCAGTGTCTTCACCATGGTCTTCACACACCTGCATAACATAATGGATTAAACATGATTTATCAACAGTAAAACTAATGTACATGGGGGAAACACTAAAAGAGCCATGGTAATGTAAACAAAAGGTATTATTAGTGACGTGTCGTGCAGAAAAATATTAGTTAATAATTCGCTGTTTATATGAAGAACTCTTACTTTTAACCAGAAGGTTTGCTGTTTACAGCTCTTTACTATTGAATCAGAGCTATTTTACACTGCCCTGATGTCATTAAAATATATTTAAAAAAGCCAATCAATACATACTTAAAAGTAAACTTTTACTTAAAAAATAAAATTATAATTCACAAAAAATACGACACTCCCTATATATGATATTTTCAAATATATTTTTAAACATAAAAAATGGCCAAAAATTATATTTTATTCGAAATATATTTTTAAAATAAATATTGTGAATATATATGTTACCTTCTGTATGTCAAACTAATAAGCACATTCGCATGTAACGTTATCTGTATTTGCACTTATTCGCAACCAGTCAGCATACTTAAAATACATTAGAGTGGTATTTTATTGAACAGCACAGATATAACATATATCTATAACATATATCTACCATATCTGGCCAGAAAAGCAGATCAGAATCATCCAGATATGCTTTGTTCATCACTTCACTATTGTGATTCAGTCAGGTAATACTTTATTAATTATTCTGCAAAAGCATCTGACGATATGAGATGTTTAACAGTCGCACATAAAATACTATTATAATTTATTTTATCCAAATTATCATGTCATTGGGTGTGGATCGCTGCAGCGGGACGCGCTCGTGACGCTCTTCTGTTTTTCTGGGATTTGTAGTTCAAGCTTCACATTCGCTCATTGAGCTCCTATGGTGGAAGAACTACATATCACAGACTTCCGGCAAACAATAAAGTTGTCCTCCGCACTGGGCGCTGGCCATTAGGTGATGTGTCAGAGTCCGTGATACAGCTCGCTCTCTGTCACGGCTCGGTTTAACGACTCATTGCGATTCTTAGTGTAGGAAATGTCTGACAGCGGCGGGGGAGAGGACGGCGGCGGCGGGATGGAGGTCTCCGCGGCCGTGCAGACGGTAGCGGACGTGTCGGTGCTGCAGAAGCACATCCGAAAGCTGGTGCCGCTGCTGCTGGAAGATGGCGCCGACCCACCCGCGTCTCTAGAGAGCGCGCTGGAGGAGAAGAGCGCCCTGGAGCAGATGAGGAAGTTCCTGTCAGACCCGCAGATTCACTCAATTCTGGTGGAGCGGAGCGCTCTGAAAGGTTAATCCCGCACCGACACCGCTATTATCACCCGTTAACGGCAGAGGAAGGGTTAACGTTCACCGCCTCAGCTGAGCGTGCGCAGTGCGGAGCTGCGTCCGGTTATTGTGTTCTGCTGAGGCGGATATTGTCAAATTATCGCAGAGTTTTATGTGCTCCAGTAGTGTTTCAGAAGGAAAATAATGTGGTGGATTAGTTTAATGAACAGTCGGAGATAGCAAGTGATCAGTGATCGATCAGGGCGGGTTTTGCTGCACTGCAGATCAATGACATCACGATCAGCTACTAAGAACATGCTGCTTTAATATTCGCATTTCTGAACAGTGACAGCCCGTGACAGGCTCCTGATATTGTTAATCACACTGTACTCTGAGTAATCTGTCTGAAATCGCGTGTAAGAATGACTAAAACAGCACGCGCACTATTTAATCCCCCGTGGACAGTGTTGGACTTTGATTATTAATCATGGCTCATAATATAATGCATCTCCCTTTTAGGATTTGCTAAGAATACTTTTCTGATATTTACTAAGGAGAAAGTGTGAATTTGCGAATATTAAACCAACTTTAACACACACACACACACACACACACACACACACACACACACTAAATTCGTTATGCACACATAAACACTCATTAGTTTGTGTGAATTGTGGGGACATTGCACAGTTATCTATTATTTTTTGCAAGTAACAGACTGTAATTGGGGTAAAGCTGGTTTATATTCAGACTTTCTGCCTAATAACATTTCAGAAAAGAATTCTTTGCAAAAATAAATAGTCAAACAAACCGTGCTAATGTGGTTTTAAAGTCATTTTTACATGCGATTTGTGATGAATTGCTGAAGGTAATGTGGTGAACAGTAGAGAGCATGTCGAGTTTTATAGCATGAACGAATATAAAACTAAACTGTACCTCAGGATCATCTCTGTCTGAACACATCTCTGAATATGACGCAGATAATAATACTGCTAAAACTACACGAGTAATCACAGTTACACACTGAGGAAAGCTTTACTGATGATAGTTTAACAGGAGAACATGCGTTTACCCACATTCTCTGAGCTTTTGTCAGAGAAACTAAAGTGACCCAATATTCTTCTAGCTGATGTAAACATTATATTATTAAAGTTTTAATAGGTAATCGTGATTAATCTGATAATAAATCTGAATTGCAGGAAAATAATCACTTCATCTGATGTTTACATTAATAAAAGAGTTTTCACTGAGAATACTATTTTATTTTATTGAACAGCACAGATGTGTCTATCTTGTATTTAGAACATGTATTTGGCCAGAGAAACAGATCAGAGCCATCCAGATATGCTTTATTCATCAGTTTACTATTGTGATTCAGTCAGTTTATACTTCATTAAGCTTTACTGATGATGGTGTAATCGGAGAACACGGCTTTATCATCATTCTCAGAGTTTTTACCTGCTTCAGTGAAGCGTGCGTGTGTGAGTGCGTTCGTGTTATTTTTAAATCAGAGAATGAAACATTTACAATCAGGGGTGGACTGGCCATCTGGCAATTCTGGCAAATGCCAGAAGGGCCGGACCATTTTATAAATGTGGGCCGGTCAGCTATTTTATTATTTATTTTTTATATGTATACCTGTAGGCAGCTTTTGATGATGGTAATAGTAAGAATAATAATAATAAATGTTAAGCATTGGCCCAACCGGCAACGACCGGCTGGTTTCGAGATGGACCATCCTAATCAGAGGTTACACGGAATGTTACCAAAATCTGGCATGAATGTCAAACAAACAGTAAGTGCAACACAAGCTAATTGTCAGAGATGGACCATAAAAAAGGAAAGGCAGTGCCGAAAAGCTCAAAGAAAGCAAAAAAAAAAAGGCTCTAAAATCAGATGCTGCCAAATGCATAAAATGAACTGAACTATTCTCGAAAGGGGGCAGCGCAGTGGCGCAGTGGGTAGCGCTGTCACCTCACCTCATAGGTGAATAGGGTAGGCTTAATTGTCAGTAGTGTATGTATGTAAATGTGTGTATAGGGGTTTCCCAGTGATGGGTTGCAGCTTGGAGGGCATCCGCTGCGTAAAACATATACTAAATAAGTTAGCGGTTCATTCTGCTGTGGCGATCCCAGGTTAAAAAAGGGACAAAGCCTAAACGAAAATGAATGATTTCACATATACATTTGTTATAAATGGGTTGTTTTTGTTCCAGTCACATACATTAAATGTTTAAAAATCTAATACATATGGTACTGCTTATATTATTTTACTATCTGTACACCAATATAAGTAGTGAATGTATGTGTCCATGGATGGGGCTGTGTCAGTGTAGTAATGTGGGCTGGTGTGGATACAGTGCCAGGGCTGATTTAAAGTGCCAGTCCGCCCCTGTTTACAATACACAGAGCAGTTTAATTCAATTTTTGGGAGGACAATGCTTAGGTGTAGGCATGGCATGATTTTTAAGGTATATTGGAAAAGTCAAGGTTTTAAAACTACCAAAACTGTCTGATAAACCATTCCAAAGGCTTGTGTAGGATTTTTTATTTGCGTTTTTTTAGGACAGCAGTATCTTCAGCAGAAAAGATCTCCAAAGATGCCGTTTTAAATTGTAATGAAGTCAGTGTTTTTGAAACTAATGAAGACAGCAGAAGTCAATGATTCATCTGAATTATTCAGCAGTGTTTCTCAAAATGAAATATACTGTGTTCAAAGAGCAAAAAGTTATTGTTTTTACCCAGACATTAAAAAAGAATATATTTTACAGCAGTAATCACAATATCCTAAACCGAGATGTTTTTATCCAAGGCTATCCTACCGTCAGAATCTTCTACTGACCCATGCCTACTTAGGTGGTCCTCACACACTTAAACACTCACTCACTCACTCACTCACTCACACTCTCTCTCTCTCTCTCTCTCTCTCTCTCTCTCTCTCTCTCTCTCTCTCTCTCTCTCTCTCTCTCTCTCACACACACACACACACTCTCTCGTGCAGTCTGCTGATGTCCGCTCTGCTTCTGTCACATGCTCATGTTATTTTCTTCCACATGTTTTCATTAAAGGATGTCTTTTAGTGTTCACATTCAGCAGATGTTACACTGTGTGTGTGTGTGTGTGTGTGTGTGTGTGTGTGTGTGTGTGTGTTTGAGCAGAGGATGTGGGTGATGAAGGAGAGGAGGAGCGCGAGTGTATTTCCTACAGCGTCAGCATCGACATCCATTACGGCCTCAAGTCCAACAGGTAAGAGGATGCCACAAACCGGCATTAATCAAAGGTCAAAACGTTTTTAGGAGGGCTGTTGAAGGATGCAAGAATCCAGAGTCCTTACAACAACACCGTAATTAAGTCAGTAATACATTTCTATTATAAATCCGTGAATCAGACGAAAGCAAATAAAGACAAGTGGAGCCTTATTGAGATTGAGCTACATGTGCGGACACATACAGTGGACTGAAATGTGGCGTCTCGCAGGACAACGGTGTGACGTAAATGAACATTATCCAGTGTTTCCTCTTCCGTTATGTTAGGGGGCGCTCCGCCAATGGCTTTTCCCGCCCCCTTGAAGTCGAGTTAATTGTATTTTCTATGTAGCGCCAGATCACAGCTTCTTTTAATAAACAAGCTAAAGAGCCGTCTGTAATATCTTATTTACGCTCTCTGAATCGCGCACGGTCACAGCCACTCTCTGCTGTATGCGAGTGAGAGTGCACGTGCCACACTGACAGGATCCAAGACACGCATGCGCTCCCGTATGTTACGCTTCTCCTACAGCAGCCACAACACGGGTAAATGATGTGTGTGAGCGTAATGTGCTCGCGTCACAGCAGCGAGAATATATGCAGATGCGATGGGACCTCTGTTTAGTTTATTAACTAATGTATTTCCAGTGTTTTGAGCTGCTGTGACACGTTCACCCCATCTAGCGTCTCATCCAACCTTATGACCTCACCGCGAGTCTCTGTGAGTCTTCAGTGGCGGTTCATTCCGCTGTGGCAACCCCTGATAAATAAGGGACTAAGCCAGAGTAAAATGAGTGGAGGAATTACTTTCTGTAAAGCTGCTTCTGGCCATGACACAGTCTCACCTAAATGTTTATAAGAGACGTGTTTAAAGAATGATATGCAGCATCCTTCATTCTCTAAGCTTAGGCAAGATCTTCCCTAAGGGTTAGAGGGAACATTTGCTTAATGCATTATAAAGCCTGAAGCATTAGAATCAGTGCTCAGAATCAGCCGATCACCATGACAAGGAAGTGGTACTCCATATCGGCTGCGAAAATCCTGATCTGAGCATCCCCCACCCTCACCCCCAAAACTGTAAACCATAGGGGAAACACTGTAATCGTAAATACAAACACACTGGACACAAGAACGATTTTAAACTAAACACAAGCCTTACACTAACTATACTAAATACTAACTGTACACATGCTACACATACACAAAACCCAAGACAGACTGTGCGAGTACTTTAACATAAGACAGAGCAATATTGTGCAGGAGAGCTGTGTGTGGTTGATGGAAACAGCAGAACTGCTGCTGCATTCACAGGTGAACACTGAACGATTGCTATTGATGGAAGACTAATTACAGTCTGCTGATTCTGAGGCTAACAGGAGTGTGTGTGTGTGTGTGTGTGTGTGTGTGTGTGTGTGTGTGTGTGTGTGTGTGTGTGTGTGTGTGTGTGTGTGTGTGTGTGTGTGTGTGTGTGTGTGTGTGTGTGTGTGTGTGCGCGTGCGCGCTCCTCCAGCCTGGCCCTGATCAAGCGCACGGGTGTGATCGACGCAGATAAGCCCATCTCCACACAGGTGCGTGTGCTGACTCTGAGCGAAGACTCTCCGTACGAGACGCTGCACTCCTTCATCAGCAATGCGGTCGCTCCGTACTTCAAATCCTACATCCGGGAGTCCGGCAAAGCAGACAGGTGAGTGCCGGCCCAGCCGCAGGTGTGTGTCCTCACATACACACACAGCTGCTGGAGACGGAGATACACACCTAAAGTTATGTCATGATTCATTAAATAATCTGTGCAGAAATGAGTGTCTGCAGATTCTGTCTGACCCGGGATATCACTAGACCCACACTGAGTCTGTGACCGCTGATTATTTAGCCCGTCATCACTGAGTCTGTTTAATAAAGTAAATCATATTCAAAATAATGTAGAAATGTTAATGTATGATTTATGCACGGTATAGTTTGTAAAATAATTGGATTTTCATTGTAATCCTTAAGTTTAACCCTCGTGTGCTGTTCAGATGGACTCTGCTTTAGTTATGTTGGTGCTGTTTTTGCCACATTGACTTGCATTATTGCATTTTTAGATTGCAGAGCCGTTACAGCATATGAGCATGCATTCTTTACCAGCAGTAATCAGGAATGCATGATTATCTGCTGTCACGGCTTTGCCGTCAATATATGTGATTATAATGGAAGTCAGTGGAGCAGAAACAGCACCAACATCACCAAAGGGGAGTCAGTCTGAACAGAGTGTGCTGTTGAGTTTTAAAGCGGTTTTCCAAAATAAGAGTCTAAGCAGATTTGTCTGCAAAAGGCATCACATTTGCTGAAACAGAGAAAGCTGAGGCCAAGTTAAGACTCCAGATCAGCCCAGAGTGGATGGAAATGACCCAACAGCACACACGGGTCAATCATTTATATTTTTTCTGTCATGTTTTACATTTTCAATTACTATACTCTCAACATCATTCCACATCTGCAGAAGATTTTACAAAGATATGTACAAATAATGTCGGCAGATTCTGTGACGTCTTCCTTCATTTCCCTCCTGTATTCCTGTGTCCATCAGGGATGGGGATAAAATGGCTCCGTCAGTGGAGAAGAAGATTGCGGAGCTGGAGATGGGGTTACTGCACCTCCAGCAGAACATCGAGATCCCTGAGATCAGCCTGCTCATCCACCCCATCATCAGCAACGTGGCCAAGCAGTGCTACGAGCGCGGAGAGAAGCCCAAGGTCACCGACTTCGGGGATAAAGTGGAGGATCCCACATTCCTGAACCAGCTGCAGTCCGGAGTCAACCGCTGGATCCGGGAGATACAGAAGGTGCACATCTGCACTTTAAACACACTGCTGTACTGTGATAATTACTACAGCAAACACCAGAGCGGACACACACACACACACACACACACACACACACACACACACACATGCACACACACACACACACACACACACACACATGCACAAACATGCACACACAAACATGCACACACACACAC